GAACCATAAGGAACCCTACAGACTTATTATGATAATTACCTGTCATTTTCATTATTCTGTACAACCTCCATTGACTTTAGTATAGAATATGAAATCTTGAGAAATAGAAAGGAAAATCTTCTCTCTCTTAATCCACTGAATCCCCATTAAGTGAGGAGCAATCCCATATGATTAGCCCAGAGCAGAAGTTCGTCTGGTTCACTTAGCAAAGGTCCCTCGTTCGAATGTTGATAGAGGAATGTATTTACATTGGCTTAGTTCTTTCTCACTAAGGTTAATACAACAAACAATCCCCTCTTGCTTCAGGGTCTGGTTTTCAAAGATTTCTTGCCAGAGCCTTTTGTTTTCTCTCAGGGGTCCAAATAAGCATAAAACAAAGAGTACCTTCATAATTTTCCTCTTGCTCCCTCTCTAGGGTGTTGCTAGAGGGATCACTTAAAAGACAACTACTCACTCCCTACTGCGCTCTGCCACTTCCCACCCTCTGATCTATTCCCTTGTTTAAGGAGAAAAAGGAAAGACATCAAATGCCCCGGTCATTTGTACATTTTCCCAGAAATAGAGGATAATAAAGGAACCCGAAATTGCACATATATCAAACACTCTGCCTCTTAGAAGTATCAAGGGCAAATAAAAGCTAAGATTCAATGCCCTTGAATCTCCAGTTCCCATTTACAGCTGTGAAACATGAGATTCAGGGTTGGAAAGTGTATCATTATTATTGAATGGGAGACAGTCGAGAGAACTCAAATCTTTGTCTTCAGTTTCTGGATCCTCTGCTTTTTCCAACATGTGTGCCACTTCCTCTCTGGCATCCAAGAATTCAGATGGGAAGATGTATTGCTAGCAATAAAGAAAATATCACCATGTTCCAGATTTTTCTGATGACAGCTCACATCCATTGTCCTGGGGTGTGATCTGATCTCAGCTTCAGAATAATCTAGGTAAATTGATGCTACCTGCTGTCCTCTGCCCATCTGAGCCCCCTCGGGGGCTTGCCCTCCGTGCTGCCTCATCAGATACTTCCCATGTTCCTGGGTGGCTGCAAAGGCTGGCCTTCCCTTGGAACATTTATCTTCAACCCCCAGTGAACAAGCAGAGCACATAGTGGACTAACTCATTTATTTTTCCTCATTTATTGATGGCCTTTCATAACCAAGTTATTAAGTCATCAATAACTTCAGAGAAATAAATGAATGAATCCAGAACTGGGCCAACAGATATTTAAGACATACACTGAACATTTTATCTCAGATCAGCAGAAAAAGTCAATGCTGGGTCCTCAGTGGTATTTTCCTTACCTGGAAATACATGTTCTATATTTTATTCTAATGGAAACCCAGTTTATTTCTCAACAAAGTAGTGAAATGAGTAACATCTCCAGTATCCCAAGTAAATTAAAGTTTGAAAAATAGATTACAAGTGTTAACATTTTCCCCAAAATACCATCTAGTATGTGTTGCTCTCATCAGCTGGCAAAAATAAAAAAAATTCTTCTGGAAGATTTGCCAGAAATAGATTATAAACTCTTTCAGGAGCATTTGTAAGTTCTGATATATTCCCCTCAGGAGATAAAATAAAATGAAAAGGAGATGGAAATGGGAGTTAAAGTCAGGGAAGGTTTCTAAAACCCTGAGAAACCCCTGAAACCAGTATTTAGGCGTCTAGAGAAATTTATAACACTGAAGTTAAGTTTCCATACTGATACTTTCTGACCTGTCAGTGGTTCAGCCACCTGAGAGGAGCCATGTATTTTCATTATGTTTAGGGGTATATACAGCTGCTCTGTCTCAACCTTGGGTTGAGACATTTGCTCTAGTTTGCTCTTCACGAACCCCAGGGCCCCATGATAGGAATCTTGGCTGCTGCTGAGAAGCCACAAGTGTGGTTGGAAACTGCTCTGTGCCGCAGTTGCCTCAGTTTCCTCATCTGTAAAATGGGAATAATAATATACAAGAAGAACTTTGAATAGTGTCTGGCACATGGTATCTGTTCAAGAAGTGTCAGCTATTATTGTTGCTATCATTAATGATAATACAGTATTTTCCGTATGGTTAGGACCTCAGAAACCAGTCAATCTAATTTCCTCAATTCATTTTACAGACAAGGAGACTGCAACCCAAATAGCTTATCAAGCAATGTACATTCTTTTCAAAATGTAAAGGCTGAGTGAGAGACCAGCAGGAAGAACATCATCTTTGTTTTTTATTAACTTTTTATTTTGTATTGGAGTATAGACTATTAAAAATGCTGTGATAGTTTTAGATGGACAGCAAAGGATATTGTCATACATATACATGTATCCATTCTCCCCTAAACTTCTCTCCCATCCAGGCTGCCCCATAAAATTGAGCAGATTTCCCTGTGCTATACAGTAGGTCCTTATTGGTTATGCATTTTATATGTAGCAATGTGTACATGTTGATCCCAAACTTCCTAACTATCCCTTCCCTACTCCTTCCCCCTGGCAACCAAAAATTTGTTCTCTGAGTTTGTGAGTCTGTTTCTGTTAAAACATCATCTTTGGAATCCATTAGTCGTACATTCAAATTGCAGCTCTGTAGCTTGCTCGCTGTGTGACTTTGGACTCACCTCTTCTCTTTGAGTCTCGCTAGATCCTCACTTGTAAAATAAGTATAACACAACTTACACTGATGGATTGCTGTGAAAACTGAAAAATAATGACTGAAAAAGTTAATGACCAGATAATGTGACCAACACACTGCCTAGGAATTAATGAGCATTCCATAGCTGAGGACTATTACGGCAAATGTCATTCAATTAGGCTACTGCAGAGTGGGGGCTAGAAGCGTGGGCCCCTGACTGCCAGCTAAGCTCACCACTACACAGCCCACCTTAACTTAGTAACAAACAACGAAACAAAAAAACAGAAATTTGCTTAACTCTTTTCTATCAGTTTTCTTCAATGACTATCTTGTCATCAGTAGATGTTACTAGCTATGAAAATTAACCATGCCTCTTGATGGACTAAATTTGTAACTCCTATTGTTCTTTAAAAAGAAAGAAAGAAAGCAAAGAAAGCAAGAACTCCAGTGTTGGCCCAGAGCTTTTCTACCTAGTTTAGTTTAAGGAGAACAGTTTTACTCTTCTAGCTGTGCCCCAGCTGCTGACCTGTTTGAGAGATGGTGACTCAGAAACAACTTGCAAATGTTGCAGGATGATGAAGAAAACAGATGATGAAGTATAGCAGCAACTTTGCCAATCTGACACCTTTTGCAGGGTAGAAATAGCTAGAGAAAGATTCAGGGAAGAATGGAAATTGAACTGGACAGCCTGGTTTCCTTTTAGTGGAAATGTAATGAATAAATTCTAACTCTAGATAACAGGGCATGGCATTCCAGGTGTATCAGAAAACAGATCTATGAAACTCAAACATCCATGGAAAGATCATGGATGTCCCACTGAGGAGCTTGGGGATGGGGCATGTGGTCAGGTAAGTTTGAGAAAAGCTTCCCTCTCAAAAGTTTACAATGCTCACTTATAAATGAAAGATTCTAAAAATTTCTGTAAATAGCAATCCTGTTTAACATGCTCAAACCCACCTTTTCCTGAATCATTAGCACAGAATTTCCATCAACATCACACAGAACAGTGACATGCTAAGGAATGCTGTTTAGGAAACTATTCGGTGTTGGAAATCAGAGATCTTCAAACAACCAATGAGAAAGCCTGCCGGTTTGGGTTTTCATTTTATTGTTGAGTTTCTGCTTCAATCATTTTAGACAGAGTTTAGATGGCTACCTAGAAAGGGATCACACTTAAGCCTTCTTACATCCCCATTATGTTTGTGAGGCATGGAACTGAAGCACCTGCTGTGACATGTGTTTCGGAGCAGAATACAGCCTTTGTGTTCAGTTATTTATCATTAACCATCAGTGGTACTGTCTGGAGAGGGGAATAAAAAGTAAATACATTAAATGAAGCAAATTAACTTAGATTCATCTTAAGGCTGGCTTTGGAGCAGCCAGTGGTTTGTCACTGTCTTCCATGCATCCTGATTTCTTGCGAATGTTCACTTACTACTGGACTGTGAACTCCTGAAACCATTTGGGGATGGAAACCAATGGTCCAAACAAAGCAATGAAATCCATTTTAATATATAAATGCTTTTAATGATGGAGATAATTGCAACTGATTGAAATCCAGAATTTTCTTAATATGAGAAATGGGATACAAAGAAAAAGATAAAATGTCACTGAATCTCCTTCATACCACATTGCAATGTTCATCATCTACCTCTATAAAGTTCACAAAAAATTTTCACCTTTTCCCCTTTTTCTCACATTTTCATCCTGTACTGTTACATAAACACCCACCAAATGCTTTCTTTTTGACCTTCTTAATTCCTTTTCTTCATCCCTCCCACTGTGTCCTTTTGGAAAAAAGAGGGGAGGCAAGGGGGCTGGGAGATAAACACATTCAGTTATTACAGGCTTCTTAACAAGACTGTCTATTTCAAAACTTCAGAATTGAAGGAGAAAGATATCAAAAAATTAACCAGAGCATTTGGTAGTGATCTATCTAAAAGAAAATGAATGAAAACTAGTTTAACAATGATTAGTCTGTTAGCCCTTTAGTCTTGACCTTTTGGTAAATCATAAATAAATACCATCCAAATTTGACAGTAGTAACTACAAAATTCCCACAACAGCAATCTGACAGAAATATCATTTTTATTGGTGTTAAAAAAGTGACATTTCTAAGCTGTTGAATAAAACAGGGATTATTAAGAAAAGTAAATGTTGAATTATGCCACAAGAGTCTCATCCGTATGGCAAGATCTATGAGCTAATTGCTTGGCAGCTGCTTCACCATTTAGATAAAAATGACTCTACCTGGGAAGTTTTTTTTTTAAGTGGTTTGATTTGATATATAGTTAAAATATACTAAATACATACTATATATTAATGTTGATATTATATGTCAGTATTTTATATTGATCATTTCTCTGATGACTTCTTCTACTGTCCCTTTTCCAGGAAGCAAATAATTTGGGTAAAAGCACAACAAAATCAGAGAGTGCCTGGCTCTTCAGAATGTGGTATGGCTTTGACCACAAGTATCCTTTGATAATGATCATCTTCCTGATCCTTCTACATGGCAGAGATGAACTTTGAGCACTTCATCACTGAGGTATGTGCCTCTGCTCTGCAAGAAACACCAAAAGGTAAAGTGAATTTGTGACCAAACTGAACCAAAAGAATGATTTCAAATAATCAAAACATATGTCATTTATACTTATGTATTACAAAGAGCTAAAGTGAAATCTCTCAGAAACAACTGAATTTGGTGTATGTGTGACAATCTACTATTTCCTAATGCCAGATGATAAAATCATGGAGTCTTGAAAAATGGACCTATCTTACTAATTTTACTCTTCATCCCTTTGTAAAAATATCTTATTTCTGGTGGAGTCAGTCAGGATGATAAAGCCCCTTCACCCTTCTGCTAGGAACCTATTTATATGTTTTTGTTTCATGCTGTAAAAAAATGAAAGGGGAGGGAGAGAAGGGAGCACGAATGGTCCAAGGAGAAGCGTGAGTCCAGTCATCACACTGTGAAATAATACTGCTTTGTTTTCCAGGAAACACTTGAGTAGGTTTTTTTTCTAGTGAAGGGCAATTTTAAAATTCTAGCAATCAGTGTAAACATAGAGGCTCAGATACACGTTGCCATGTGACTCACAGGGCTGAGAAGTCAGGCCTGGAGGGCTTTGCCATTGTGAGTTGCAGTAAGCGGTCCATCTCTAATCCCAGGCAAAAGCACCACAGAAGAAAGGAAAGAATTGCACTGAAAATTGAATGTGTTGGGTCTTTGTAGTTGGTTTTCCACAGTCACAAATCCCTCTCCTTTCAGGGAGAAAATGTCAGTCACTGGGTGATTTTAAAGCAGCTTGGCAGTGATTAAATCCACAGCAGATCAGTGGGAGAGGGAGAATTAAGAACGGGTAAAAGAAAGTCAAAGAATAAGATGAAGAAGAGGTAAAAGTGGAAAGGGAAGAGGAGGCAAGAGAAATACAGGAAATTCACAGCAGAAAGGAAAACAAATAAGAGGAATGACTGTAGAAAAATACAAGAGTGACTCGAATAAGCAAAAATTGATCAAGGTTAAAATTAGAAAGCAATTCTGGGAAAGTAGAAGCATTCCAAGAATTATGAAATAGAGATGTGAAAGGTAGAGGCTTTCTGAGGCTATGGTTTTATTTTTCTATATTCCTGTTATCCATGGACAAATACCTTGTCTTTCTCAATCTTGAGCTTTCATAGGCAGTGTAGGCTGCCTCCACCCTAAAAGTGGCCCATCTTGGCCATTAACTGCCTCCAGGAGGTGCTGGTACCTTATTAACCCCTCACTGGTCCCTGGCTTTTAGCAGGTTATGCAGGTTTATGTTCCAGGTTGTGCTTCTTGTAGAAATATATTTCCCCTGCCATTGCTTAGGTATCTTACCAAATTTGTAAGAAGTTATAAAAATCTTGCTAAAGAGTACATATAAAGGCTGCTTGGTTATGACAAAATGTACAGGAAGGTAATGTTTTGGGGTTCCTGGACCCGATATCTGGCTTGTGTGAACAGAGGTTTCCCCATCCATCCAAGCAATGTGCTGGATACCAGTTCAGTGTCCTACAACTCAACTCAATCCTAACATTGTCTACCTGGATACAGTGTCAGATCCTCACTGGTAAGGGATTGGTCCCACAAGACTGCTTCCCTCACCACTTCAGATGCCAGCCACAAGTCCAGGTTGCTACTTATGCTTCCGATCTTTCGGCTACACATTGGAGGTTCCATAACCTCCTCCTTGGATTCGATTAATTTGCTAGAAAACTTCAAAGAATTCAGAAAAATGTTTTACTTACTAGATCACTGGTTTATTAGAAAAGGATATAACTCAGGAAAAGCCATATGGAAGAAGTGCACAAAAAGAGAAAGGACATGGAACTCCCACTGACTCTATGGGTATACCACTCTCCCCAAATCTCCACCTGTTCACCAGTCTCTAAATTCTCCTCAACTCCATCTTTTTGAGGTTTTATGGAGGCTTCATTGCATAGGCACAATGGATGAATCATTGGCCATTGGGGACTGAAATCCATTATCAGCCTTCCCACATTCCCAGACATGGGAAAGGCAGGGCTTGAAAGTTCCAACCCTCTAATCACATGGTTGGTTCTCCTGGTATCCAGCTCCTGACCTTAGATGGGGTCCAAATGTCACCCATTAACATAACAAAGGATGCCTTTTTGCTTTCATCACTTAGGAAATTTAGGGATTTTAGGAGCTCTATGACAAAACTAAGGGTGAAGACCAAATTGATGTTGCTTATCATAAACCACAATATCACAAAACGGCGAATCAAAAATTAGATAAAAGATGATTCTGTTCAAATTCTGACAGTGTTGTAAGAAATGGTTTACAATGAAGAAAAGAAACAAAATGGGAAAAAATAACTGGGAGACAAGAAAATGAAAGTGGCAACCCTCCCCAAGTTTTATCTTAGAGCAGTGACACTAAATTCAGATGATGTCATAGATTTTGTCTCACATTTCACCAGGGGGTTATTTCTGTGTGATTATGGAAGACTAGCAAAAAATGAAAGCGGACTTAACACTCTTAATAGTATCTCTTATGGTAATTTGTCCTCCTGTGCATTCATTCCAGAAATTGCAGGACCACCATTACTGAATAAATATATTTTCTCTTAGACAACAGAACTTTTATATCCCAGTTACACTCTGAATTCATACCCAGAGAGTAGCAAAACCAACCAATGGCCACTGTGTACACTCTTGATTTATCTGTATTTTTAGAGATAAATTATCCTCTTGGTGTTTATGTCCATTCTATTGTCCCCCCAGAACCCAGGTGCTGTGCCCCATGGACTCCTGGGTAGGCTATGCCAGATGCAATCTTCCGCTTCCAGGGTCAGGTTGCCTGGCTCAGGCCAAAACAGAAATTGTGAGGCCAAAAGAAATGGACTATGTAGTTTGGAGCTGCTCAAGTTTTGTTTTAGTAAAACTGCATCCTGCAAATGAAGCATCATAAAGAATTACTGACAAAAGAAAAAGAAGAATAAATGAGCCTTTGTATGTACCTTTATCAGTCAGCATTCTCTAGAGAAACAGAATCAGTAAGGAGTACACACACATACACATACACATGTGTATACCTGTACACATACATGTACATGTACACATACATGTACACATACACATACACGTACACATGGATTTACTTCAAGGAATTGGCTTATGAGTTTGTGAGGGTGGCAAGTCCAGAATTTGTAGGGTAGGCTCTTAATCTAGAAACTCTCAAGCAGGAGCTAAGATTCAGTAATCTCGAGATAAAATTTCTTCTTCTTCAGGGAAACCTCAGTTTTGCCCTTAAGTCCACTCAACTGATTAGATGAGACCCACTTACGTTACTGAGGATCATCTCTTTAAAGTAAACTGACTGTAGATGCTAACCACTCCTACAGAATACCATCATAGCAACACCTAGATTAGGGTGTTTTTTTTTAATTGGAGTATAATTGCTTCACAATGTTGTATTCATTTCTGCTGTACAGTAACATGAATCAGCTGTAAGTATACATATATCCCCTCCCCCTTGAGCCTCCTTCCCACCCCTCTAGGTCATCATAGAGCACCAAGTTGAGCCCCCTGTGTTATACAGTGGCTTTCCACTAGCCATCTATTTTCATGCGGTAGTTTTAGAGTTTGATTGAATAACAAGGTAGCCTAGTCAAAAAAGAAAAACCATAAATCTTAAGTGTCACAGTACTCAGTTCACATTCAATAATTGCCCAATATCCAGAGTCAAGGAAGAAAGATCCTCAACTCACTATCAGTATCAACAAAAAACAAGTCACTATTGCTCATATAGTTTTGTTTTCTTTTTTTACTTTATCATAGCATAATTAATATATACTGTTTTTTTTGTTCAGCCACTGAGTCATGTCTTACTCTTTTGCAACCCCATGGATTGTAGCCTGCCAGGCTCCTCTGTCTGTGGGATTTCCCAGACAAGAATTCTGGAGTGAGTTGCCATTTCCTTCTGCAGGAGATCCTGACCCAAGGACTGAACCTGTGTCTCCTGTACAAGAGGTATCTTCTGCCCTGCATGTGGATTCTTTACCTCTAAACAACCAGGGAAGCCCAGTTAATACACATGCATTCCTATAAAACTTTTCCAAAAGCTACAGAAGAGTAAAAATAATAAAAATTAGCATTCTATAAGGGTGAACAGGGCTTCCCTGATGGCTCCGAGGGTAAAGCATCTGCCTGCAACGATGGCCAAGGACTGTGTTGAGTGCTTTACATTATAATTTCATGTCACCTCCACAGCTCTGTAGGAGGGTGGGAGGGTCTAAGGGTATAATACCACACAAATGGACTGCTGATTGTGTCCTCCTTGGATGAAACAGCCAGAGCTCTCTCATTCAAGAACGTTGCTGGAAGCCTATGGTGCCAAAATTGATGATTAATTAAGATTTCATTATGATTCCCTGTGGGCAGCAATTCTGAGTCATGCAATGCAAAGCAGAAATTGAGAAGGGGAAGATGTTACAGCACACCAATGCTTTGCCACTGAGAACATTATTTTGTTTAATCCTAATAACCACCCTTTCAGTTTCATTCTCACAAAGCCTCTCTTTGAGGTTGAAGAAGCGAAATCTCAAAGGATTTAAATAGCTTTCCTAAGGTTCCATACCTAGTGTCAGTTCCATGATTCAAGCCCAGATCTATCACAATCTAAAACCCATAAATACACTTAAATGAACTCTATCATTAACAACTCTATGTCCCTGATAGCCCTTATTTACATGTAAACCCCATCTCCATATGTTCAGAATGTCACTATTAAAGCAGTTGACTATTATGACTGCTCACATTGTGTCATGAAGAGCTCACATCTCATACATTTGTTGAATATATATGGGGTGATGCATTTGAACTGAGGTGTTGGAGAAGACTCTTTAGAGTCCCTTGGACAGCAAGGAGATCAAACCAGTCAATCCTAAAGGAAATCAACCCTGAATATTCATTGGAAGGACTGATGCTGAAGCTGAAGCTCCAGTACTTTGGCCACCTGATGCAAACAGCTGGACTCACTGGAAAAGACCCTGATGTTGGTAAAGATTGAAAGCAGGAGAAG